AAAAAAAACAGGTAAATGATAAGTTGGCTGGGGACACTAATGCGATTACACCCTCAAAATCTAGCCAACCCGAAACACATATCTGGCTGTCTTACAAGCTGTTTGCATTTTTTCAGTAGTTCAATAATATCTCTCAGGTCTGTAATAAAGTTTCTGAAAAGCAAGATCCTGATCTAAGTCTTGCGCTTTTTGAGGATCAATAAAAATAAACAGTCTTTCAGCTTAGCGCTCTCCTATTCCATTTTTTTATAATTACGAAAAAAAAAGCTGACATCTATAAAATCAGATTCTATTTATTAGCTAAGGGCACTTTTTTTCTTACACTTCTGCCTAGTCTCTATTTCCTTTTGCAGGTTTAAAGGAGTGTTAAACCTTAAGCAGATTACAAGGGAATCATCTTCCGGCCTAGTGAGATCAAATATGACAAACTCACCTTTTCAAAGGTAACTATTAATAACCATAGATGCATTTTTTACATCATCAATATAGCATCTAATAATCTTAGAAATATCTTCATGTGAGCTACCGGAGTTAAATACTACTAGATGTGTTGTGTTTTCACAGGTGAATGTATCGAGTTTATGATATTTTTGCGTTACATATACACATGAAATATTTCGATGACGCCCATTCCCAAAAAATTGGCCAATTCAATTTTGTATATGCTCTGGAGCTAAGCATACATCCTCAAAAATAATTAATGTACTTCTCTTAGGTGAGAATGCTCTTGTACTAGGAATTTTTTCGGGTGGTATATAGCTGAAACTAATATCCTCATAGTAAGGCGCTCTTGGATCTTTCGAAATCATATTATATATATATCTAATATATGCTTATTTTGGTTCATCTGGATGATAACTGCATATAATCAGGTCATCATAGCGAATATATCTAGACCCGTTTTTCTCCTCCTTTTGCACATATTCATCCTTATCATCAAGAATAAGGTTCGCAAGTAAATTAGTTTTACCTGTATCACTTTTCCCAGTAACAACTATAGCGAATGTCCATGTCATTGCTGGATGACCTATATTTCAGGATGATTCATGCTTTGTGACTTCATCCATATCCAAAAGATGAAGTTTCATAGGAGGTAGTCCTGTCTTTTACTTTTTCTGCATATCGGATTGGAAATCATAACTATGATTTCTATTTAAGTGTATTTTATAATTCAGAAGATTTTTTTCTTCATTGTAAGGTGAAATAAAAGAATATAGATAAGAGAAGATAGACCATAGGAAGTATATGATTAGTAATAGTATTATAAGAAAGTTGCAATCTAAAAAAAAAGGGAATTGGGTAATACTGAGATTATTTCGGGACTAGTGATTTTATTATCTTTCTTCAGTCTGCTAACACTTCCAATCACACTATTATGCGATTCCTTTAGGATCTGCTCAGGCTCACTAGATATTTTTGGGATCTGCTCAGCTAAACGATCATTAACTTCTTGAAGGAAGGGGTCTTTTTTTATTAAGGCCTTTTGTGCTGTGACTAAATCATCTTTTATCTACGCTAACTCATCCTTTTTTTCAGTCAATGAATCTTCTAAGTCCTCTTTTACCAAACTTAGACCAATATTTTCACTAGTTAGTTCTACATTTTTCAGTTCCAATTTATACTTGAGAGAATCCATTTCTGATAAATCATCCTGTACTAAAGAAACATCCTGCTCTAATTCTTTTACTTTTGATTGGAGAACCTGTATCTCTTCCTTCATCTTGGACTGGAGGGCTTGCATCTCCTCTGATTTTATAGTGAATCTGCTTTCAGCGTCTGCAAGAGAAATATCCTTGCGAGTAATCTGAAGCATAAGCCCATTTTTTTCTGAATGCAATTGTCTTATCTCTTCTCCAAGTTGATACACCTGATCGGAAAGTTTTTATTTTCATTTTTAGATTTATTAAAGTCATCCTGTATGCGCTTTTTTTCTCTATATAATATATCATAGTTATCCACAAACTGGCTTCCCCAATATATAGCAACTTCACAGTCTTTTTTTGCACAAGAAAGTTGCTCTTCAAGCTCTGTTCAGCTGGAAGGATAATAATTAGCTGGAGTATCTCCAAGTTTATTACCATTATTCAGATCTTTTAAGGTATGGATCTGGGACATTTTATTGGTATTTTTTTTACTTTAGGCAAATAAAAATCAGTCAGGGTCTTAAATTTATAAGAAAGCAAATTATTTTTGACAAATCTAATGCCTATTGATACTTATTGAAAAAAAAGATCACTGATACCTATTGAATGGCACTGACACTCATTCATACTTATTGATACGCACTGAAAGAAAATACTGATATGCATTGAAGATCACTGATATGTATTGAAGGTCACCGATATGTATTGAAAAGTACTGACTCTTATTGAAAGGCATTGGTATGTATTGAATCTCCAGAAATATTGATACTCATTGAATAGTATTGAAAAAATTATTGGTAGTTTTTTTGCATATATATTTTGACTAAAAAAATGGTCACCCATCTCCATGAAAAATTTTACCGATCCAATGCAACTTAGTTGTCAGAATCTGATATTAAAGAGATTAGAGAGTCAAGAGGTAAGATACCTAATGCATCAAAAAAAATGACTGAAAAATTTCATATTGGTGCTTAGCGTATTTATGAAATATGAAACAATAGTGAACGTCTTCAACAAGGGCTTATTTTATCTTTTTCTGATCAGCCTGCTTTGGATAAAAATTTCCAAACTGATAAGATGGAATAGACTCTTGAAGCTACAGAGATTCCAAAAAATAATGCTCGAAAAAAGAAGGTTAAAATAGATGGTAAGCCAGTTACTGAAGCAACTAGTATGGTGGAAAAAAATAACAAAAATGGTGTGGCCTTTTTCTCTGATAATTCGTCTGATACATCCTGAGAAGACAGAGCGGAATCTCTTCTTGAAAATCTAATTAATCATAGTAAAATCCTTAAGGGTTTAACAGCTAATACCACTTCTCTTATATAAGGATTCACATGTATCAGCAAGAAATTTACCAGTACTTAAGGCCAAATAGAGCATTTCTTCAGTTTTTATGAGGCACTTTTCAAGCTCTTCACACTTTTTTTTAAGTTTTCTTTACTACTTAGGTTAGAAGAATTAGTGAAAACCTGAGATGATGATTCCTGCTTCTCTTTTGGCGGATCTTTGACTATTGGAGTCTTGCTAAAGGTTGGGATAATATATGTCTTTCCATGATCCTTTATGCGAAACTGATTTTTAGTTAAATCAGAAATACCTTTGACTTTTCGAATTCCTGTTGTACCTAACCATAACATTGACTTGGGCTCACCATTATCAACACAAGCATAATTTCCAACAATAGTAATGATTGGATTCCCTTTCATGTCCTTTAGAGTAACTGCTATATTCGTATACTATCCTAGTGCTTCAGAGATATGTTCAGAATTACCTTTTATAGCGAATTTGGAAGGCTTATCAACTTTTCATCCAAGCGCTTCAACAGTAGCTAAATTAAATCCATCAAATTCACTTCCGTTATTTAAAAAAGATTTAGAGATTGGTAAATCATTTATACTAGCATTCAAGTATTGTAGGGATGAAAACCACTCATCTTTTTTTGACTTCTCCTCCTGAACATTTCAAAATAGACACATTTTACGCATTGCCAGTGAAAGTTTTGGCAACAGCTCATCATATGTTTCAGATTGGCTAGATTCTGAGGGTGTAATCGCATTAGTGTTCCCAGCCAACTTATCATTTACCTGTTTTTTTTTACCGGTAGGTCATATCCAGTCTATCTATTATTTTTCTCATCATAACCATCTTCCTCATTATCTGAATTTGAAGATGTATATTGGGACTGTGTAGATGGAAGTTGAGGATAGTAACGTGTAAAATTTGATTTAGCTACAGGATTTAACTTAGGCAATTATTTTTTTTATGACCCTCTTGTCCACAATTACTGTAATAAAAAGGTTTTCGTGATTGTTCATTAAGTGACATCCTCCCCATTTGATCACTTAATTGACTTACAGAATCTGCAACAGTACTAACTGTGTCCGCAACTTTACCAACTATAGTTTCTAATCTATCAATTCTTGCTGAACAATACTTATCTGGTTTATGTGGTGTTGGGGCCCAATAAAGGGATTATCATTTTCATATGAATTATGTATTTGCTCTATATTTTTGGGTGGAATTAGTAAAGGAGTTTTCTTGCTTTTTTGGGCTATCTGTACTTGGAATTTGTTTTTCTGCTTTTCTAATAAAGACTGGTATTCAGCTTTTTGTTGTGCCAGTGCGTTTTGGATTGCTTTTTGCATATCTTCTAAAGATATTCCATGCTGTTGCAGGCTGAAACTGGTGAAAGTTCATATATTTGCTGAGATGCTCGTTGAGATACTAGCAGATCAGATATTCTATCCCTTTTATGTCTAGCAATTCAGCGTAATTCTATCTCATAAAGCTTTTTAGATAATTCATCTAATGGCAAATGTTTGCCAATATCCTCAGCTTTTTCAAGCCATGGAAGTGGTAGGGCATCTAAAAATTTCTTACGTAATTCTTCAGGCCTATAGTTGGCTCGTCTACCTATTCGTAATATTTTTCTATATAATTCATCTATAGTCATATCTTCTTTTCTGATTGTTCTATACATCAAATCCTGAAGCTCCTCTTCCACTGTAGAAAAATGTGTTTTTAGCCATCATACGGCTTGACCAAATTGAATATCAGCTACAACTACTGTATTTTCAGCATTAGCATTTAGTGCATTTACAGGAGCATTAGTAGAACAGCCACCTGCTATACGCCAGTCTTCATTCCAAGCATCTTCTACAGCTCTTAACTTGACTATTGCATTTTCTGGTTAGCCAACAGCCTCATTTAATGCATTAACTCCTATCTGTACTGCAGTTCACCTATTTACTGCAACTAAGTTAGCCTGCCCTGTATTATCAAATAAGTTAGTTAACTTCCAATTCTGCTTTGTAGTAATTTCATCATCAAACCATTCTAAAGTCCTTCCTCTCATACAGCCTCTTAAATGCCCTATTGCATTATCTCTTCCTGTTGGAGGATCTACTACATTATCATTTGGATCTATTCCCTGATTATACAAGTCTAGTCTAAGTTGTGCAAGAAAGTCTGGGATACTATCATCCCAGTCAAAATATAGATGAAGTATTCCTGCCATGTTTATTTGATTTAGTGGATTATTCTGTAACACCAAAATTTGTCCTTGCAAATTTAAAATATTCTGGCGTTCTGCTTGAATATTATTTTTCCATTTCTCATATCGCTCATAAAGCCTGTTTCGACTATATTCTAATAAACCTATATCCCTCTACTTCGCTGTAGGTGATAAGCATTTCGCTGATACAATAATTGTAAGGCAAATTTTTCTTGTACCAACTCACCTATATGGTTTTGCTTCCTCCCTATTTTATCTAAAATTCTGACAACCTAGTTTCAGCTATTAGTTCGCAACTGATAAAGATCACTAACAACCGTGGCCATTCCTTCTTTAACAAGTTGTCTTCATATAGTTTTATTATCATGTTCAGCTTCTGCGTCATAACGCTTTCGTTATTCACGAACTAAATCCTGATGCAAATTATTCTCTTTTCAGCAAATTTGCCTTATTGCCCTTTTTATTTAGTCTATAAGAATATCCCTACCTATTGCTCTATTATCCACATAACCATTTATAGCGTTTGCTAGCTCTATAATTGTGGCCATATTATTATCAGAATTATACAAGTCTGGAGAATTCCCTCGTTCAGGTGAATTTTTCCGTGATGAGATAGTCTTAATCCTATATCACAATTTCTCAACTTGTTCCTCAGATTCTACTAACTGCTCTTCTAAACTAGAAATA